CGAACCAAAAATCATTGCTGATAACATCAATTATTTTCAACATTTTGCAAAACGTATTGAGAGCAAACACTTCAAAGGCATTAACAACAGCAATAATAACATTGACAGCAACAAAAATGTTGATAGGATTAGCAACAACAACATCAACAACTTCATTGCCAACAATCCAATTTTGAATCAATCAAGCTCCAATTTAATGAACGATCCCAAGAATAACTTTATTGTTAATCCAATGACATTCAATTTAAACAACAACAACAACAACAATGATAGCAACAACATCAACTTCACTACAACAACAACTGTTACTTCTGTCAATTCGTCATTTTTAGACAACAACAACAACATCGATATAAGCAACAACAAGCACAACATTGATTTAAGCAGCAGCAACAGCAACGACATCTATATAAACAACAACACCAACAACATCGATATAAACAACAACAAAATAACAAGAAAGAAATTTAAAAAAGAAATTGACGCCTTTGATGACAGCAGCAGTCTTCTCATAAACACGAACGCTACGATTCCGACTACCACCAACAACATCGCCAACAACAACATCGCCAACAACAACATCGCCAACAACAACATCGGCAACAACAACAGCCAACTCAGCAACAACATTTACAGCCACACCATCAACGTCAACAATGGCAACAATAGCAGCGATGAAATAAAAAACCTGCAGAACGTGACCGGCCTCCCGTTCCCACTTCCGGCAGTACCACCTGGCTTCCGGTTGGTCATTACACATCTTCCATTAGCCGACAACAACCGCCCGGATTCGAAACACATTACTCAACTCATCATCGACAACCCGGTTTCTCAGGCGCTCACTACTTCAACTTCCAAATCGCTCGACCAATCGCCATCTTTGTTTACGTTCCAGTTTAATCAACAGCAACAACTACAACAACTACCACTACTGCCACAACAACAACAACTGCCGCAACATCAAGTCCAAAAAAAACAACAATTACTACAACAACAACTTCTTCAGCAACAACATCGACAACAAAATCACTCGCCTCTCTCACGCTTCCATCTCCAGAAGCCACGAACCATCCAACAGGACCTGCAGAATTTGGCTCAGCAGTCGTTGGCCTTCACAGAAAGCTTGAAATCTCTCAACATCGCCAACAAACTCTCTTCACATCAACAAATGTTGCTGAAGCAAAAAATGTTGAAGCAGCAACAACAACAATTATTTCAACAAATAATTGGGAAAAAGCAACAAAATGCAACAGAATTGATGTCAGAAAAAACGTCATTGATTTTAAAACAGCATGATTCCTCTTCCGAACGTAACAGAAATAATGAATGTTGTTTAAACTTGTTGAACAACAACAACATAAACAACAACAACATGAACAACAACAACAACATGAACAACATCATCAACAACGTTTTTGGAAACAGCAACAGTAGCAGTAGCCACAACGACGACGGCGAAGTAGCTACAAACAACAGCGCCATCAAAAACAAAATAGTTGAAAATTTTGCGGCTTCAGAACTGTTTGAAAAATTTAAGTTAAAAAATCTTCAATTTAATATTGGCAACAATTTTAACAGCAATACAAGCAACATAAACAACAACAACAACAAAAATGTTTTCAACATCGACAACAACATCATCAACAGCAACAACAACAGCCTTCAAAATACATTGGATTTCCAAAAAATTATGAATTTTATCAACGCCAACAACATCAACCTAAATAACATTAAATGCAACAACAAAAAAAAAAACAACAATAATAATAGTAATGACAACAACAACAACACTAACGAAAATTTCATTGAACCAAATTTCAACAACGACAACCACATTCAGAATTGTAACACGGCTAGTGTTAATTTCCAATCCACAACTCCTCTGACTGCATCATCATTATCAAAACAGACTCAACCATTACTATCAGGGCCATCATCATCATCATCATCATCATCATCATCATTATCATTATCATCATCATCATCATTGTTATTTTCAAAAGCTTTGAATAACCCTTTATTGTCATCTTTGATGATTCCCTCAGTTTCTTCATCATCATTGACATCTTCATCACCAACATTATCGCCATCATTACCACCACCATCACCATCATTGTTATCATCATCGTCGTTTCTGTCATCATCGTCATCATCATCGTCGTCACACTCGCCCAAACGTCCTACAACATTAAAATTATTATCAACAACAAAACCAATGTCGTCGCTATCATCATCATCATCATCATCACCATCATCATCGGCATCATCATTACCATCATCATCATCATCATCATCATCATCATCATCATCATCGGCATCATCATTACCATCATCATCATCATCATCATCATCATCATCGGCATCATCGACAATAGTTGCAGCAGCTTTGTCAGCGTTATTACATCCATCATTATATAACAACCCTTTAACACCATCGTCATCATCATTATCATCATCATCATCATCATTATCATCATCATCATCAACAACATCTTTTTCATCATTATCATCGTCGACAACGTCATCGTTTTTCTCGTCTTTATTTCCAGTACCTACTTTATCAAATTTTTCATCATCATCATCATTACCATCAACAACGTCATCATCACTTTTA